ATTATTACGGAATATCCCCCACAAAAATTGCTCCTTGAAAGTCCCTTTTTCACTTGTTTTGACTGTGACACTTGTTCTCCCAATCCTACTCAGTCCCAGGTCCCTCATGTGCTGGGGAGAGCTGTACCCAGCCAACCCATCCACCCAACAGCACCCAGTTACACACAGAGCAGTAAATCCATGAAAATATGGCATGTGCTGCTTCTCCCACAAATACTCTCAAATGTCCAGTGATTTGTGACTCAGGAACTTCCTCAGCCACAGGCTTTGTATTTAATAATCCTCTGTGGATTTCTCTGTGCTGCACAGAATTGAAGCAGGCTTCCAGCCTCCATGGCATTCTGTAGGGAGGAATTTGAGAGCTCAGGTGAAGAGCTGTCTCCTCTTCAGAACCTGCTCCTCCCTTGCTTCCTTTTACCATCCTTTGGTTTTTGTATTAGGAAAAGACAGCGAATTTCTGTTGTTGATTCACTTTCTCAATGACACTTAGAGACCTCCATGAGTCCTCCCCCACCTCCTTTTGTTGCAGCATGTAGGAGGTACAGTCTATTCAGCTGGAAGCTGCTCCCATTCCCCTGATTGTCTCCAACATTCCTCACCACATCCTTCTAGTCCTGCCATGTTCTGTTTGAGCAGAGGAAGACAGAACTGTACACATTGTTCGTTTACAAACACCAACTTTCCATTTTGTCCACCTTAACTTTGGGGCTTTTTTTCACTTCTATTGGTGACCCTTGAGTTGACATTTTCCTGCAGCTATTTACCATGAGCCTAATATTTCACTCCCAAGTGTCTCTGAGTCCATCCTGCTCACATTTGAATTCCACCTGTGTCCCCATGCAATATCTTACACTCATCCCCACTTCCTCTTCCACCTCACTGCCCAGCTGCTCATTACTGAGACATCCTCCGGGGGCTCCTTGCATCTGGCCTCATCTTTTCCACCCAGAACAAAGCTTCCTCAGCTGTTCTTATTATAGGATTATTCCAGCTGTATTCATGGATGGGCAACAAGAATGTGCACAAGGAGAGGTGGTTTTCTGCAATCTTACTGTCACTGACTGGCAAGCACTCAGCAGCAAGACGCTTCCCAGCACATTTACTGCTCTGTTTTCCAATGTCTGGAGGACTGAATCCAGCCCAGCTTGCCCTGGCACAGATCCCTCTTCTATTACTGATGACATGGGAACATGAATCACAAAGCTTTAGGAGCTCAAGCAAGTTCCCTGCTCAGAGCAAGATATGCAGGTTAAAAGTTAATTTATTTTGTTCAGCTTCTTGGCCTGCTTTGAAGTAATTAAAGGAATTAACCTGTGCCTTTGTTCTCCAGGAATGTAACGGGGATAATAACTTTTCTTCTCTCAAAAAAAAGCTGATAAAATAAAATCCATTAATGGCTTTCAAGCACTCTGATCCCAGAGCAAATAGGATCCTAATTTAAAGATCCTAATTTTCCTATGGGAACTTTTTCTGTCCTTGTTGGCATCGTTACCTGTGGCTCAGGTAGATGTTTGTTTTCAGACAAGTCTTTACTTCAAGCATTTCTCCTGTTCCCCATAGAAATCCTGATAGTTTGTTCTCTCCCCTCCTGTCTTTTCCAGCATCAGTGCCATTGTATTTGTTTAATGGGGTTAATAAGCTGCTGGTATAATAATGATCATGCACAGATGCAATTATTATGTGTGATTAATTCTGCAGCTGCCAAAAAGCTTGGAGGACTTTTCTTAGGCGAGGGAATAACTTCACAATAGTTCTTCTCACATTGCATTCACACAGACATAAACCCCAAAAGAAATGCAGAAGAGAACAGAAGGAAGGCTGGATTAGAGGAGACAGAGCTGCCCCCAGCAGAGCAGCTGATGAAGGTTTAGCATCATATGGGCAGACACATTTCTGTGCTTTGTGTTTATGCACTGGCTAGCTCCAATGATTCCTGGTCCATCACTGTGATCCCAAGGTATTACTTCCATGCACATTGTATGTAACTGGTTATAAATTTTTAAAGACATTTCAGCCAGTGGTGTAGGCTTCTCTTGTTATTTTTCTTTTTAAATAAACACCCTTTAAACGAGCATGCTGCATTTTGTTCCAAAAAGATACAAGACCACAGACCAAAATATGAACTTCTATAAAATGCTGGCACAGGTTAATGATTTTTACAAGAAGCAAGGAGAATGAGGTGCACAGCACACAAGCCATTAGCACTAAAATACCAACAGTGTCCACATCTGACAAAGCTGTGGATGCTTTTCTGCACGAGGCTTTTTGGCACACCCAGATAATTTACGGTCCAATGCTGGAGCCACACTCTTGAGTGCTCTTAAGTGCTCTGAGTGATAATGGATCTATTTGTGTGATCAGGGAATGTAAGCTGAGGCCTGTAACTCAGCATGTTCCCCAGAACAATACCTGGACACTTATCTTTGACCAAACTATTCTTAAATCCCACATATGTGTCCTGAAGACAAGGCACTGCCTGCACAGTTTAGGTTTCTGTAAGCTGCCCAGCTGTTTTCTAACCCATTTATTACCCACACAAGCACCCATGGCTTTGACATTTACCTGACTCAGTTTAAAGGTTTAAGTGAAGGAGAAAACGTGCCCAGGAAACACTGAGACATGCACCATCTCCTTTTTCTTCTCTATAAAACCATCTGTTCCAGCCTCTGCAGCCTTTAACACCTAAAATCACCAATGTCCCAGTCCATTTCCTTGTCCTGCACATGGAGAAATCCCTGTGCATGCATGCCAAGAAGGCAGCACACAGGGTGTGGGTCTACAGGTGGCAGAGAAGAGGGTCAAGGTGGGCAAAAAGCACAGCTGGACACTTTGCTGTTGTTCAAATCTCCTTTGCCATTCCTAAAAGCTGACAGGACCACATATGGGTCCTGCACAGGGTCTGTGTATCCAGGGCTGGGAATGGAGAGGAATTCTGCTCTTTCAGTCTTACCATAAATGGCTGCCCTGAATAGCAGTTTAAGCTGGCTGTTTAAGTGTTCCACAGCGCTATTATATCCAAAATTTCCATGATACTTTAAAGAAATCACTCCCTGTGAGCCTTGAACAGCAGAACTTCAAATAGCACCTATTTAAGAAAACACAAGGGCTCTTTGCTCACCCTCCAGACAGGGGCTCAGCAGTTTTAGCTTCACTTTGTGAAGGACTTATTGAGCATCTCATTCAGCCAGCAGCATGTCTGAGACAGTAACAAACTGCTCTGCAGTGCCTGGGGGTTATCAGTGAAGAGCTACTCCAGCACCGAGACAAGAGCTGCTTTCCTTCCTTCTTTTTAATTTCTTTCAGTTTCTGCTTCACTGGGTTTTCTTTTTCTCACCACACTACTGGGGGCTTTACAGGCACAGAAGAACAATTCAGAAGGCAGAAGGAACAATGTGACTTGGAATAAAAGAAGCAGATTTTGATAGGTTCAGAGTTTGCCTGTAATAATTTATGGATTTCTGTGTTTCACTTAAAAGTTTATCTAGCACTGAGAGACACTGGTCTGACGCTGGTCTGTATGATCTGGAAACAAAAAGGATGAAATTTTCCTTTATGGGAAAAAGAAGTGGGCATTACAGTTGCCTGAAAACTTATTTGGACCTATATTGTGACTATTTTAATTTCATTTCTGATAGTAAAACTTTAGGATGTATCTACTCTGCAGCATATATAAACAGGAGAGCTTTCCTGCTGGGGCATGGTTGCCTTAGTCTACCTTTGTTTTAAATTACTAAAGAAGATCCCAATTGAAAACCTTTTATTAAAACATGTCCATGCAAACAAGAACATGACTTTAGGTAACCCATGCGGAGAGGTTTCCTGTCACAGCTAATAAAAGACAGTGAGGGCTGCACAGGCTGGGTCAGAGGTTTTACTGTTGCACAGAATTTCCCTTAATTCTCAAGGGATTCACTGATGACGGATTATTTCTGTAATCCACTTCAGTATAGTCTAGTGTAAAATCTAAGTTTTCACATCCATATACTGAAATATTTCATAAATATTTTTCTAGATCTGAACCAAAGAACAGAGCATCTTGCAAAAGCCATTTCAGTGTTCTGCAGCTCGAGATACTCTGTCAAACCCAGAGAAGGCAAGGAACTGCCAAAGGTTTACCTCCTTTGACAAGCAGGCACACATCACAGACAGCAAACAAAAAGGTTGTTTCATATTGCCATCAGCTGCTGGTTTCAGACAGGAGGCAAAAGGACAGCAGGAGATGAATGGAGCTCTGCTGTTCAACCCCTGAGTGAGGTAATCAGCAGCAAACTGTGGCTATGACTCCATCTCCATCATGGACATTACCAGCACCATCCTTCTCCAGGACTCACCATTGTGCCTTCTGCAGCTCAGGCACCGACTAAACTTACTTTAGGCAATTTCTATTTTTCCCTTTGGGACTGGATGAAGGGAACTGAGCTGTTGCAACAACCTTCAAATCTTCTTTCTGCAGAAGATTTCCCTGTGCAGCAGTGGAGAATTCACAGCAGGAGGGTCCCCAAAGAGTCCCCCAGAGCAGCAGCTCACCCAGCACTCAGCAGCACAGCAAGGGACTAAACCAAGTGCAGCCTTGGGAAACACTTAAGGGCACCAGGCAGGGCCTCTGTGGGTCACATGGTAACATTCAAACACTTGGATAGTGTTTTTTTAATGGAAAAACACTTGGAAAGTGGTTTTCTATTCACTTTTTTAATGAATCTGCTGAGAATTCTGTGCTTTGGGTACAGCAGCACTTTTGCCATAATCAGATATTATAAAGGTATGAGCAATAAAGAAGATATTCAGGTATTGTTGTCTCATCAGCTGAGCCTTCAGATGATTCCCTCCAATTGCCCTGTACTATTTATCAGCACATGCATCTGAAATAATACTTAATTTTCAATCAGGTGCTCTGCAAGGAAACCTAGCTCAGAAAATCTCTAACTGAGTACCTTGAGGAAGAAAATAAAAAACCAAATTCTGGCTCAAGGGTGCTATTTAATAGCAGTGAAAGTACTTACCAGGTGGCCTATTAATTGCAAGGTTTCTGAAATGGCTGCCTTTGATCATCTCCACTGCCAGCCTCCCCGTAGTGGCATTGTATGACAGTCCCACGAGCAGCTCTGGCACCCCTCCATGCGACAGGGACTGTGTTGAGGAAGCGCTATCACTGTGAGAGATTGCTGACAGACTCAGCTGAGAATCTGCACTCTGCAGGGAAAGAACACTGAGAGAATCATCAGGACATTCACCACCCCTCCCTCCCCCCCCTTAATTTGTGTCTTGTGGCCTTGTTTAGTAAGATCTCTGCTAAGAAATTACAATAACTGAGAATTAATTATGCCGGGGCAGCAGAAGAATCAGAGCGTCACTTTTACAAAAACACATCTCTGAACTTTCTCTTTAAAGATGAGGAACTCTGAGTGAAGTGTTATCACGAGTGTAAATCAAAGCCTCTGAGATAAGCAAACATCCTGCTGCACTAATACTCTGTACATCTCCTTGATAATGGCTTTTGGATGGAATACACTTTTCAGTTTGGCAGTTTTTGGCCATGTACTGTGCATTTTATTACTTTCTTTCCTTGCTACCACAATGCTTTCACTATTCTCCACTTCACCTGGAGTAGGATGATTTATTCATCTCACGTGCACAACCTCTCTCCGAGCTTTTGTAGACAATGAATCATGACAGAGCTCATCTACACCAATTGATTGGCATAGCCAGAGCTGGATACAACTGTGATGTGCGTGGAAAATTAAGAAGCAGCACAGCCAGTTCCTCTTCACATGACCCAGCTCTCCGCTTCCATCTGTCATGTAGGAGAACATTACTAAGCATTTCTGGCAAGATGGAAACTGCACAGTGGAGATCCACAAGCTGGTATCTAGGGCCAAATGAGGTAACTTCTGCACTGGGGTGCACAAGAACCACTGCCCTTATTGGAATTAGGACTAATTATGCCTTGGTGGTTCCCAGACCAACCTGGGGTATCTGAATGGCACAGCATGTGGTGAGTCGTGCAGATGTAGTAGATCCACAGGATTTTGTGTGAGCTTGCTGACTGGGCTGTTAATAAAACGCAGCTTTGCACAGGGAGGAAATTCCCTGAGCTTCCCCTTCCTGATCACTTTTTAAGTGACAGCAGGTCAGATCCACCAGTCACACACTGATAGCCCTGAATGAATGAAAGATTCCAGGAACACCATATTCACCAAAAACCAAACAATTTTAGGGACTCCATCTGTCCTTCACCGAACTTACACTCAGGTTACTCCGTGGCTCCAAGAGCAGTGTCACCTTCATCTCCCCTTCCTGGCTGATGCCCCTCAGGTAGAAGAGCTGCTCCCCCATCATCTTCTCCCCAAGCACCTTGTGCACGGCGTAGAGGCGGAAGCGAACGGCATGGCTGCTCAGCTCCTCTGGCTCCAGCTTGCTGAAGGTGATTTTGTCCTGGAAGACGGGGATGGGTCCTCTCTGCACACTGGTCTTGCCCCTCTGCTTCTTGCCCGGCATCAGAACCGCGTGCACCTGCCAGGTGTTGACACCACTGCGGTCCTTGTCTGGGATGTCCCTGGCCTCCAGGACAGTGGCTATCAGCTTCTGGCTTGAGGATTTGTAGGTGAAAATGACATCCAGGTCACCACATTTGCAGATGGGCTCGTGGGCACAATGGTGAGCTGGCACACTGTTCACTTCATTGTGCTCCTGCAAAGGGAAGGAAGGAGTAAAACCTCCAGTGGAGTTCAACTGCCTCTGTGATTCCAATTCCAATTAAAATGAAATTGTTCTCCTCACTTTAGTATACGCAGTTGCTGTGTGAAATATGGATCCAAACTGTTTCTGGAAGGGCCAAAGATAGTTAATTGCCTGATTTTGTGTAATAGTCCCCATACGCTCTAGTAAGCAGCAGCACTTGTTGAAACATTTCCAACAAAAAGTTTCATCAATATTTAAGTGTTTTGCAGGAGATGGTTAATTTGGCAAACATTCTACATAGAGAAAAACTAAACAAAGGGATTTTTACATTTCATTCGTGTCAACATTGAGGCACTAGCAAAACAATTTGACCTACTTAACCTGTTACTTCGAACATACACTAGAATTGCTTTTCAAGGTGGAAATTTTTTACATTATTAAAATCAAACAATTCAGCTGAACCTGCTAACTTTTTTGATATTTTGTTCTGCTAGAAATTTTTAAAAAATTAGGCACTATGTTTAATATGAAGAGGAAATCATCATGTCAGAATTTCCTGTAGAATGGAAATTCCATTTCTAGATGCTAACCCATAATTCAATAGTTTTCCTACAGCTAAAGCAATGATAATGGGGATAAGCAGTCTGATCAAATACATATTGATTCTTTATACCCTTCTAAAATCTCCCAAGAGAAGCATCTGTTCCTTCTGTTCAGTTTGGGTACTAATAAATTCAGAATAAAAATTCAAAATAAACAACCGCAACATGTGCAGACCAATTCACACACAGTCTTTTACCTACTTTTAAAACAAAAACCATCTTGATAAAGCAAGATAAAACCATGGATGCTCACCTTACCTTTTGCTGAGTGGGTGTGTGGGTTTCTGTTCAACTGTGCTTTTTTATCTCAGAGCTAGAATGTGCTTCATATGATAAAGGGGTTGCTATAGTGATCAATGGTTTGTATTTAAACACGAGTATACACTGTACTAGGGAAAGATTTTCAGTTAATAGCCAGAAGGTGAATTAAGGCTTGTCACCAGCATCTGAGTCACCCTCCTCCTCAAACATTTATCTTCTTTTCACATTTCAAGTAACACTTCTTTCCAGCACAGGAGTCTTTTTGTTCAGAGAACAGATGATGGGCCATGGGACGTCTGGTGTTAAGTCCCTTCAGAAGTGTCTGGGTGTCTCAAACAGGGTCTCAGATAAACATCAAAATTTTTGTTTACTTCCTGTCAATCTACTTTTGAAGTGCCCAGATTCATCTGCCATGACATGCAAAGCTCCAGATTTTCACATTTTCAGCGGTGTTTAAGACTTGAACACAAAAGTCCAAGTGTGCAGATTACAGACCTGCTGTTGCATGTCTTGCAGAAATAATGTCAAAGGGAGAACAACACACAAAATTACATGCTTGGCTACAGAAACATCTTTCTGTATAAAACAGCAGGCTGCTAAAAACAAAAATGCAAGGCAGGCCAGGTTGCCTGGAGAGAGCATGGTGTTACAAAAATGTTAAGTGCTCCTGTGTAGCAGTCAAGTTATTTCTGTCTGGTTGATGAAATAATATTCAATACGTGATGGGGTTGGGCTTGACTCATACTTCCCTCCACACTTTTATCTGTGCATTTGCTGTTGAGGAGATGGAATCAAGGCACATTTAAGGACCGCTGCTAAGGTCTGGAGACAACCGTGTTTGAGGCAAAACTTGGCTTTCAGCTACATGTCTGAGCTGGAAAATGTGAACTCCAGTGCATCAGCACAAACCCACAGGAATGAAAGTCCAAGAGACACTTTCCTGCCCCAGTAGGGCTGATATCATCACCTTCTGGCAGTGTGTAAGGAATACTGAAGGTCAGATATCTGCATTTTGACTGAACAGCTAGAGAAGATTTGGATTTCAGGAAAGCTCAAATTGTGCTACTAGACAAGTGGCCAGACCCACTGCAGAGAAAACTGCATGAACTGGAGGCAAAGAGGGAAAGAGAAATGGCAAACTCCTTGGCATTAAGCTTTCCATGGGAAACCAAGCTTTGGAGACCTCACAGCCTGGCCCTTTCTGAGAGCATTGTGCTATCCAGGACTCATCCCCATGCAGGTTTGCTTCATGCCTACAAATCCTCCTTCTGTGGAAGTCATTGACAGAATTCCCCCCTGCTTTCAGAGCCCAGCTGGGCCACAAGTGATTTGTGAATGTGTTGGTTACACAGATACTTGAACTGAAATCCAAGCAAAGACTGGGGTTTAGGTACTTCATCTGAATTTCTTTCTTTCCCTTTTCCCAGCACAGTTATTGAGAGGCTAGGCCAAGAATCCTGATTGATACTGCACATCTAACCCGGTCATTCAGGACAGCCAACATCCACTTCACTAAGTAAAATAAGTCCATTTCTGCCAGAGAAACCTGAAAGAGCAGCTAATTATGGACAAGGCTTGAAATGGTACTTGTGGTTCCACTGCAGGGGCATAAAATTACCATTTCTGTCTGTAAAGAGAGGTCCTTTGAGTGGAGCATAATAACACTTGGACATTTCTGGCATGTCAGAACATTTAGTTCCTGCAATAAAAAGTCTTTCATTAATCTACACAATACCTTTAAATGAGAAGCTGCTTGTAAGAGATAAACTGTGTCTTGGGCATTTCTGCTCCAGTATGCTGGAACCCTTCTTTGCATTTTTAAAATGTAGACACCAGGAGTAAAATGGGCCATGCATTCCAAAGAAACACAAGAGGACACCGGAGACACTGCAGCACACGTGAACCGTGGCAAAGCAAATCAAACGCAGAAAAGGAGAAACGAGCCTCAGATGGGCAGGCAGTGTCAGAAACACAGCAAAGAGAGGGCAGAGCTGCTGCCACACACAGCTCCCATGTGGGGTGTAGTGTTTTGTGGGACTGGGTTGTGCAGAAAGCCAAAATGCTGCTCCAAACACCCTTTAGGGCTGGAGCATCTCTCCAAGAAGATGCCCTCCAGCTTTGAACTGGCTGCAGGACCTTCCCTCAAAGCCTTGCTGCTCACAGTCTGATGGAGGTATGGATTTCCACAGCTGTCTTTTAACTCAGGCAGAGGATATGACCTTTGTGCTGTTCTTTTAATATGTCTGATGCAAGCTGATATTTTTCCAGAAATTTAATCCTGCGGTAAGATAATGAAAATCAACACATCATGCAGAGAGATTAGAGAGAAAAGGGAGATGCAAAGTCATCAGGTGTTTATAATGCCTTAAAATCCAAAATGTTTCCTTGAGGATTCAAAATAAAAGTGCAGAATTAAAGGAAAGAAGACTCAGGTTCTCTCCTTCCCTAAAAGTTTGCCTGGTATCAATGGGGACGAGATTACTGTCACTTGGGCAGGTCACAGGCCACCCCCACCGGCTGCCTCCAGCTTTTCAGATTATTTCCATTGTCTAAGTCATAGAAAATACCTGGAAAAAGACACAGATCTGACCCAGTGACCACATACCCTGTCCTGGGACACACACCCTGCATGTACAGCCAGTGACCAAGCCCTGGGCTACCACTGAGAGCTCCTTGCTAAATGTCAGTAAATGCTGCTGGGTAGCCAAAGTTCCAATTTCAGTTCAGACACTGCAGTCAGAAATCAAGCAATGAAAGCCTTCCTGTAAATTAGTGTTAGTAGCAAGGGGTAAAACACCAGAAAAAAGGGGAAACACACAAAGAGGTGTATGGTCATGCACATAAGCACAAAGGAGTACCATTATCTTGTGCTGTGCTGATCAATTTTTCACTTCATTTCTCCTCTAACATTTTTTGGCCCCCAATACCCTTCAAAAGCTTTCAGTGTGTGTAATAAATGACAATCCAGCATACCTCAGGGCTCCAAGCCGATGAGCTGTCAGTAGCATCATTTACTTCCAATCCCTGGTTGGCAAATGCTGTCTCCATTTCCAGGCGTCCTTCCCTGTGTGACTGGCTGACACCATCCCCAGTTCTGGGCTCCATCCTGGGCCCTTTGTGTTGCCCAGTGCCCCTACTCCTGGTTGTTGCTCTTGAATCAATAGATGCATGGTCATCTTCACGACAGGAGAGGTTGTCTTGGTAACTCAGTTGGCTTAGTCCATCCAGATCTAACAATTTCCAGCAAGAAAATAATTTCAGAGAGATTAGAACAAATTTCTCCCCATTCCAAAATGTGCTTTTCTCTCCTTTCTTTTATTTTTTTTAACTTTTCCCTAATCCCCAGTGTTTACAATAGACAGTTTCTGCTTCCTGCAGCACTGAACCTATAAAGAAACCAATCCTGTTTAAATCAGCATTTGATGGAGGGGACATGGCTGTTTCTCAGCCCGTACTGAACTGAGAAATCCATTGCCTTTATTTGAAAAAGTTATCCACAAAATTCAAGTGGAGTTTCTGGGGTATTCATGTGCAGCCCCAAAGGAATCTCTTCTATGAAAACACAAATCAAACCACAGAAAAGCACAGCAGAGGCCTGATGAACAGGTATCACAATTTCCTCCTGTGCAGGAGGAGGAGATGACAGGAGTTAGCACTGTCCTCAGGAGCATGGTGCTGGTGAGGGAGGCAGATTCACAGACAGAACAGAGAGCATTACCCTCTCACCCATCCCTGAGAGCTTAGTGAGCAGCTCATAAAACCAGCTAGGAATCTCTAAATCTCATGCTTGGGCTGAATTTTCCTCCCAAGGACAACAGAGGAGAGATATGTTATCTAATTTCCTAACTGCTTTTATTAGTTTTAATTCATCTTGTCCTACACACATGTCCTCCATAGGCTACAGTAAGCTTCATTAATGAGAATAAAATAATTCACACCACAGATTCCTTTCCTACACCACTGAAATCTCTGTTATGAACACAGGGTGCTTTTCTCTACTTGAAAGCACCAGTGAGAGCTCTCTGGATGGAGCAGCACAGATAATTACATGCCCAGGACACAGATGAAAACATCATCATGATTTGGCCTTGGATGTGTTCTGCAAACACTTTCAGAAGAAAAACAGGGACATTCCTCCTCCTAATGCATCTCATGATGAGCCTTGCTTCAGGAACACGGAAAGAAAATTCTTCCTCAGTCTCTTTCAAATAAGCAAAAAGCATTGAAAACAGTGAAAGAATGAGTTGTGCTTCCAGACAGCTGATGACAGCAATGAAAACATAACAATTTCCTTTGCAAACAGAGTTATTTGGGGTTTGAAGGTTTCACAGAAGAAGGTGAGGTTGGAAGGAGCCTCTGGAGGTCATCTCATCCACTCCCCTGCTCAAGAAGGGCCATTTGTTTGTTCCTATGAAGATCACTACCAAAGAACAAACATTTTTCTCAAATTTGGTCTCAAATTCAAATTTTAAAAGATAGTTTAATAGAAAACCATTAGTTTGCTTTTGTTAAATGAATCAATGCTTTTATTCCCTATCTGATAAATGAGATAGAGAATCTGGTGGCATGGAGGAGTCTGAGGTGCCCAACAACTTTTTCTGTCTCAGTTTTCACTGTCAGTTGCTTGTTTCACATCTCTCAAGTCCATCAATCTCCAGGCAGGGGCTGGAGGAATGAAGTCCCACCCATCTCAGGAGAAGATCAGGTTTGAGACCCTCTGAGGGACTTGAAAATCCACAAATCTGTGGCACCTGAAGAGATGCATTATTGCTGCTTTTCAGTACTTGAAGAGGGATTACAAGAAAGGTGGAGAGATACTTTTGGCCAAGGCCTGTAGTGGCAGGACAAGGGTAATGTTCTGAACTGAAACAGGTGAATTTAAGTTGGATATCAGGCAGAAATTCTTTGCTGTGAGGTGGTGAGACCACTGGCACAGGCTGATCAGAGGAGCTGTGGGTACCCCAGCCTTGGATATGTTCAAGGTCAGGCTGGATGGGGCTCTGAATAACTTAATCAAGATAGGGGGGATTGGACTAGACAAATTTCTAAAGTCCCTTCCAACCTGAGCCTTTCTATGATCCTCTACACATCCCTCTGTCTTAGAACAAAGAGCCCAAATCTTTCTGAGTAGAAGAAATTCTATGTTTGGCCTTAGCAGCAAATGCACTGCTTCTGATGCTTATCTGCTCCACACACACAAAAGTCCAAAGAGAGGAGTGGGGATTATACTCAGGAAACATCTGCTGCAGGTGAACAGAAGTCCTTGCTCCTGTCCTTGGCTGCTCTTTCAATTTAAGAACTCAGAAATTAGGAGAATAACTTTATCCCCTCTCTTCAACTGTGAATGATCTCCACTCTCCCTCCCAGTAAAATGCTTCAAGCACAGGCACTTCAACCAACAAGTCTGAGAGCATCTCACAGCTTCGTAATTATGGTCCTCTTCCTCATGGGAGATGGTCCTTCAGGAGCAAAGAGGGATCCAAATTCATCTCTCTCAAATTCCAGGTGAGTGCTCTCCTCACTCCCATCTGAAATGCAGAACCCATCTCTTCTCCTGCTCCTCATCCTCCCATCTGGCAGACCTAATTCTGAACTGAGAGCCCTCATTGTCTCACCTCTGCCCTGAGCAAAAAGTCTTGAGAGAGGTAGAAAGTAATTTTCTTTTTTTTGGCCATTACTCCCCTTCCTCTCTACAAAGTCAGAAAACAGAAAGAACTCAACTTAGAAGCACAAGCAAGAAATAAAATAACAGAAATTCCACGCATTTACTGAGACTGAATGGATCCAGGCACTCCTTAAGGCATTTAATTAGCAAGCCAATGTCTAATACACATTTAAACAGTGGGTCATCCATCAAAGCACACACCACACAGCAGGCTTTCAGAATAAAATGCTTCTGTAGTAAGAAATTATCCTCACACAATTGTCTTGTGGGTTTGACTCCTGCTGGGATAATATCTAGATCAATAATAGAGGAATTTTCAAAAACTACATTAAAGCCATAAAAGTCTACTCGTAACAGGAGAACTCCAGAAATATATTAATAGAGCAAGCCATCTCCCTGAGACTCAGGCACAAAATGAATGTGTTAGGAAAGCAAAAAATGTAGTGTTCAGGGGAAGTAAAGAAAAAGGTGATTCACCCAAACCAATCAGTGAAACAGTCTGGCTTTTTCTTTAAATTTAAAGCAGTTTTGGTAAGAGATAATCACGTATAAATACCAGTATTAGATGATCATTACAGATAATAGACCAACTATACAGACTAGAACAACGACAACTCTCCAATTACTTCCCTTCCAACATTATATTCACAAAATAAATGTTGAAAACAAAAGTTCCTCCTGTAAAGGAAAAGGTCAGAGCAGTAAAATGCCTGTAATTTACCTGAGAGATCTTTAAGGAAGAAAATGTCAACCGTCTTATGAATACCTGACGTGAATAAACAGCACAGCATCAGGGACAGAGGTTGAGACAGCATTATCTGAACTTTAATTAGCCAAGAGTCCCTGCAGAGCAATAGCAGACAGTTCTAAGATTAAGGACAGATAGTACTGTACAATGAAAAATGTGATTTTTCTTAAGAATCTCATCTCCCAAACTTTCCCTTTCAGGTCACGTGTTCACAATCCTGGAAGGAGGCAAGTGGAATACTGGGTAGCAGAAATCACCAATAAATCAGAAAAGTCTATGTTCAGGGTTGGAGAACTGGATGTGAAAAAAAAAAAAAACTTTCAGATGAAAGGATGAGCATGACCTCCCAGTAGAACCCTAACAAGAACTGGGATATGGAAGCCTCTCTCCAAAAATACAAGGCATGTTTGGCACATCAAACACTGAAAACCAGGCTGGAAAAATATTGTGCAGTCCCTCCTCACACTGACAGGCAAATGTTCTGGCTAATTTACAGTATCTGTCTTTTTTTTTTTAATGACACAAAATCTCTCAGTTCTATGAATCACTGTATTGTGCCAAAGGAACGTCCTAGAGGTCTCAACACTTCCTAAAGCCCACTGCCAGAGTTAAAAGATGGGGACTGGAAGATCTTACTAAATTAACACACATAGTTCATTAACCAGCAAGAAACACAGATGAAGAATTTAGGTGTTCCTGTTACCCATGCTGACCAAAGGAGTGTTTGCTATGTGAACTCTAAGGAATCAGTTTGCTTCCATGCAAAAAAAAAAATTAAATTACCCAAAAAAAACCAAGTCTTTTCTTTGAAAGAAATTAGATCCCTTCTTTAAACTGTATAAAAGTCATGATGAAAGTTAAGAACCTGTTTAAATTTAGTCCAGAGGAAGAAAGGATTTCAGTATGGACCTGGGTACCTCTGGACTTGAAATTCTCCTAGCTACAGCAGTCATTTTTCAAACCCCTCTTCCCAGAAGACAGCAGAGCTATGGCTTAGTGGGCCTGAGGAATATTTGCCCCCACACAGCAGCAATTCTCTTGCCTGGCCCCTGCTACAGCCCCAGTTCCAGACCTGCAATACCACTGCACCCCTTGCACTGAGATAAACCAACAGAGAGACCAGGCAGTGCTCCTGCCCCTGGTAATTTGGAGATTAGCCACCAAAAGAGTGCTAAAAAACTTCCTAGAAGAGCCTCAAAGGAGCAGAATCATTATGTAATTACCATAAATCTAAACAAAAATGGCCTGTAAATTTTAGGGGTTAAGGAGAAAAAGGATCTTAAATTTCAAGTGACATTATGCAATCAGGCCAAGATTGTTTAATTTACCACATGCTGGGTAATAGCCTGAGAAGGCTCCATGTTTCCAGAGCTGAAATAGGCTCTTTATTAACAGGGTGATTTGCAGAGAGGCTGTGGGCAGAGCTGGCATTCCAGCCTGTTCAGCTCCCCAGAGCATCCTCCAAACATTTCCTTCATGCTGTCTGCACTCCAGGATCTATACAGGTTACTACAAAGATTTTTTAACAGGTGAAAAGTTAAAGCTAAATGAGTCCAAAGTGCAGACTGTCACAACAGTGAAAACAGAACCAGAAGGTCAAGGAAACTCTCCTGTAAGAACACAGTGAGAGAAGACTCTGCCCCATGCCAAGTCTGAGTGGGAGAGAAGTTCAGGGTTCTCCAAGATGCTCAGCTTTGCTCTGTGCCCAAGTTTGCTATAGATTTTGGATTATGTAAGAAATGAAAACTACCAGCAATACATGTAAAAGCTCTGTTAAGAGTACACAAGGAGAAGAGAAGCCTCAGACAAAGTCTGAA